AGTGCTTTGAGGTGGTTGCTGTTTGACTTCCTTGTCGGGACGAAGTTGGCACCTTTTGCTAAAAGGAACTTTGTTGTCTCCACAGCTGACTTCGTGCTAAAAAGCAAGGCTTGGAAGGTCTCATTTGTGAAAGCATTCATTCCTGAAGCCACGAGTGTTTCCTGGATGCTCTTCACACATAGCATGAAAGCTCGTTTTCAAGCCACACCAGTCGAGGGTCGTCCTTCATTGAGATGGGTCTTTTTTGTGCACTCCCTGTGTAGGTCGTGTCATGAATGTCAAACCATTCCTTCATTGTCTTCATGAAACGTGTGGTAGGGCGGTGATCCTGCTCTTTATTTTTTCTTTGAAAACATAAAGAGCAGGATCACTGTTTGATTTTTTTTGAAGGTGTTCTAAGGCTGAAAATACTTGTGGGGATAATATTTGCACAGCATGAAGCACATTCATCTTTTCTAGTTTTGTGGGGTAGACATGCTTCCTTGTTAAATTCCGTGCCAGTTTCATGATTAATCATGATGATTTGGTTTGGTCCAGAGCTTTTCACGGAAGGACATCTCTGCAGTTCTGGAATATAAAAGTAGCTGAAAAAAAATTTCAGACCACTCACTAGATCTGTAAAGTAAGCGGGGTCAGAGGGATCCGAAAGCTCAACTGGAGAAACGTCACTGTAAACATGGAGTGAAGCTGAAGACACCTTTGTTACACCCATCTGCCTTTACACTTGTACAAAGAATTTGCTGTTTCATACTCCATTGTCCATTTCTTTTTTAGTGAAGTTCTGACGTCCCAAGGACATTTAATCTCCGAAATACTGACTCTGCAGCAGTTGTACTCAATCAAGGCATCTGGTGTTGCTCCAGTGAAAGGGAACAAAGTTGAGCTGAGAAAACTTCTTTATTTAATGTCATACATGACTGTTCTTGCTTTAAAGCATCTTCAGTGGCAAAAAAAAAAAATACACAAAGTTGCACCTGAGAGTGGCTGACGGCTGTTTCACAATGCAGTGCTACAAAACGTTGCAAAGCGTTTTGTAGCAATTTCTGAAGGGAGTTCGCAGTCACCGATGGCCATCAGGACAAGAGCCCCGCTGGTCCGCCGTCCTCGTAAATGCTGCAGAGCTGATTCCATTGGAGCCGCACCGTAGGCGGTGGCTTGTCCTGTGGGATCACCCAGTCCTCAAAGGTGTTAGGTTGGAAATGAGCGCCAAAGGAACGGGGACAGGTGAAGAAGTGGACGACAACACGGGGCGCACTCGCAACAGAACGTTTATTAGAAAACACACATGCCTAAATACCTAAAATACAACATTGTCACTTCCAGCCCCAGGATGATTGTGTTTGACAACTTTGAGGTGCACGGGCGTCGATCACAATGCACGGCGTCTGTTAGATAGTTGCCGCGTGCTCCCTTGCACAATCATTAATGCAGCGGCCTGTTGGCTTTACATACGAGCTCCCACAGAATAGTGGTATATCGTAGACGACAGATGTTTTACAATCCACAAACTTCGTTTGGTGTTTCTTTTTGCATTCCTCACTAGCCTTTCCGGGGCATTTATCCTTCTGCACAAGGCCGAGGGTTTCTTCGGGGCCGAAAAAACAACCGGAACATTGTAACGCTTCACGACATTTTTTAAGTTGTGGGAGATAGCGTGAACGTAAGGAATGATAGCCGGTCTGGTTTTTTTGCCGTTCACGGGCGTTTAGGCGAACACCTCTATATTTCCTTTTCAGGCTGTCCGCTGCGTCAGTCAGAGGTTTCCGCGGAAAACCTACGCTTTCTAGATGATCCACCTGTAACAGGAAGCTCCTGCCCATTTCATGATGACAGGATTTGGCCAATGCAGCTCCGAGAAAGGACTGGGCGGTACCTCGTTTTACCAGTTTGGAATGTGCGGAGTCGTAGGGGAGTGCATCCTTCTTAGAGCGGGGTTCATAAGCCCAGCAAATGTGGTCTTCTAGAAACATAAGTTTCAAATCTAGAAACTGCAAAGACCCTTCCAATGTTCTTTCATGGGTAAACCTCACCCCATGGGAGCAGGCCGCAAAAACTTCCATTAAATCAACTGCAACAATATCAGTAAGCTCCTTATGTGCGAGGACAATGACGAGGTAATCATAGACATACCTAAAAATTCTAATATCGTCTTTATTCCCAAGTCTTTCAGCTATAGCTTGGGTCACAGAGTATTAAAACAATATCACACAAGACGGGGGCCACTTGCAAACCAATGCAAATGCCCTGTTTTTGCACATCACATCACCATCAAAAGACACAAAGGTATGTTCAAGATAGAAAGACAGGAGTCCAATGAATCTCCACACTCATACCACAGGAGCTCCCGAAAGCCGTTTCTCCATTCTTGTCGATGCATTTGGTTACAGCTGTAAAATGGGCTTGATGCGGGACAAAGTAAAAAAGATCTTCAACATCAATTGAAAAGGCATCACACTTCCCTCTAGACCAACCCCTCAGGAAGTCAATCACCTCATCTGAGCTGCGGACTAGGAACTCATCATGCAGTTTCAATGACGAAAGGTGCATTATAAGAAAGATGGAAAACTGGTACTGACACGAGTCTCTCTCTGTAACTATCGCCCTAAAAGGGACGTCCCTTTTAATGCGTCTTAGTCACGAAAAAAATGTCCAGGGACAGCTTATTACTAGTGTTCACCTTCCTCGCTAAAACAGGAAGGTCTAATTCACAGCATAATTTCTTTGCCCTCGACTTCACCCTGTTCAGAGATCCTGGCTTCACTGGCTTGAAGTTCTTGTCAACAGGTTCCTTGGCTTTTTTGCTGTACAGTTCATGGGGCAGGACGACAAATCCCCCTTCCTTGTCCGAGGTTAGTAGCTTGAGGTTGGCGCACTTGAAGTGGGCAACGATGGCCCCCATCTTCAGGCTTTTTGGGCGTTGGCCAGCGGTGCGGCAGAGCGCATCATACGTAAATAACTTTTTAAATATTAAAAAAAAATATATTTCACTCTAAATATGGCCCTTGCACGCAATTATATGGTGCACCTAAGCATTTTTTAAAAGAGCCGTCAATAATGGCTCGCTTTAGGTTACGACTCCGCTTGCGTTCGGTCACTTTCTGTTAGCTTGAGAATCGCCACCTTCTTTTATAGCGTTGCAGTTGAGTACTTTTCGCACTTCTTAGCGGCCGTTCGCAACTGCGGAAGAACAGACAGGGCCACGACCGAACCAGCATAGTCCGAAAACCCGATTCACCAAGACGAGATGAAAAGCACAATCTTTACTTTAAAATGGTATTAGTGGGTGCCAAATTTTACTGCTTAGGTTAGTGTTCCAAATGAGCACTTCTCACGCCCTAGTAGTTTTGATGACAGCCTTTGGATTCTAGGAGGAAAATAAAGCAATCCGGTCGTGCGACTCAAATCAAATTTGGGGGTTTTACGTGCCAAACCAACGACGGGCATCTGGCACGCCCCAGCGGAGGACCGAGGATTAATTTCGACCACCTGGGGATCCTTTGACGTGCAATCGAAAGCTCGATTACCAAGCTGCCTTCTCCGCAATATACCTCCATCAGATTGCAGGCACCTCGGCCGGGATTCGAACCCGCCACATGGGGATCCGTAGGCCGGCACTCTCGCCTCGGAGCCACCGAGGCGGCTTCGTCGTGTGACTGAATGTGACGTAGGTGCACTGGCTTTGGTTTGACTACGATCATGTGATCATAGTTATGGTCACGTGATATCGTAGATAATAGGTCACGTGATTTAGAGGATTCCGTTCATGGCTACGAGCGACTTCACACACATGCAGGGAGGGTGAAGAGACAAGGGAAGGGGGTTGCGTGGTCTCTAGGTCAACGCAATTTATTCTGCATCCCTGTAGCCCGCATACACGTCAGCAGGATACCTGCCCCTAATTGTCTTGACCAGACAGGATGGCAGGAGCCGCCTATTCTTCTTTCCCAAGCGGCTCCACAGCCACAGGGCACACTGCCTGTAGGCTGCAAATCTGTAGTGCCTGGAACAATGACAGAGATTGGATGTAAGAAGCAAAGCCTATCACTCTGTTGGCAAATTCTACACTTGTTTTCATTTCTCTAGGCATGTAATCATACTCTGCTTTTCTGTTACGTCCACTCCAGCTATCACATAGCAGAATCCCTATTTGGCAGTCCATGTCGGATGGGCTAGACATGGAAGCCAAATTGAAGTGAACTTCTGTAGATTCATTCTAAATGCTCCAGAGTTTAAAAAAAAAACAAAAAAACTATAGGCCTTGGTTCTCCTAACCCACCTCCAACTCCAATCGACACAACAACCAGTTATACACCGGAATTAACAAGGAAGGAATATCTGTTGCGTGGTCATGATACATAAAATAAGTTCACAGGGTCCCAGTTCATAATTGTAGATAATATCTGTCATTGGTTTTGGTGACGAATATTGCATCGCTGTGTTTTGGGAAGGACACATGAAAATTATGTGCACTGGCCAGAGGGAATGGGAGCCATTCATCCAGAACAGTGGAAAGCTCCCCATATGATGTTGTTTAATTTGGGACAAAACAGTGCAGTTCGTAAGCCTGTGAAGTAGTGGTGTGCAAATATTGGTTCGAATTAAATAGTGCACTGTCGTTTCTAGCATCAACAGCGCAAAAAGAGCCGGTTGCATCGGCTTCCCTTTGCAGCGCGAAGGTTATGGCAAACATACTATTCAATTTGAACCAATATTCGCACACACCTACTGCAAAGGTTTCCTGCACACAAGTGCCAGGGAATGTGAACTCATCAGAGAACGTCCCAATTTAACATTGTCTAAAGTGCTGCTGGCACTGCCGAAGCTTGGCATTGGTACTGGTGATTAGGGTTTTGAGAATAGCAGCCTGGCCATGAGTGTTCTATGAAGCTCGCACAGAACAGTTTTGGTGTAAACATACGAGCTGAAGTGCTCATGCAATACTGGAGTGGCTCCAGCAGTTGTGATTTCATGTCTCTCCGACACAATCCATGTCAATATCCGAACATGTCATTCTGACAGCTTCCATTTGCCATGACAGCTGCTACCACCCCCATGTGTTTATTGGTCCTGAATACCTTAGGGCTCAGGGCACCGCAATCATTTGCTATTTGGTCATATACGCATCTGCAAGACACATATATCAACATTTTTCCCCGTTTTAGACTGCGATATGTCTTCCATTATGCTGTGTTGATTTAGAGGTGACACTACTATCATGAGAGTAGTGGGGATACATATGAGCACCCCCAGGCCTCCCCATTCTTGCACGAGAAACTTTGAATTTCAGTGTTTATTTCAATGAATAGTGTTGTTAGAAAAATATTTTAACGAAAAATGATGCGATACTGTTTGGTGACCTATTCCAATCTCGAATCCTTTCTGTCATACTCGCCCATGTGGGCACTGCAACATCATCTGTTAAAAAAAAAAGCATGGATCTCGACGACGACAGCCTGCTTCTGAATAAGCTGTCCAGACATGGCACTCCTAAAAAACTATCCCAGCATAGCGTGCAAAGAATGCCACACCAGCGGTGCAAGTGTTGCTGGCACCACAAGGAACATGTCGAGATGATCATCCACCGGCTTCAGGGTGTCTGGCATCTGCATCCAAAAATAGTGTAAATCAAGACCCAGACACCCAATAATTATCACCCCACCTTGAGATTTTGGCTTTTCAACTAGATCAGGGGATTAAGGGATCGAAGCTAGGAAGGATTGGAGGGCAGGACGCCTTGACATGTCTCTGACTGGGGTGTTTACTGCCCTATATACCTCCCATGGACCAAAAGCCGTCCCAAAGTGGCAACAAAATATGTTACGGGAGCCAAAGTGTCATGCTGTCAGATGCCGGCAAAGTTACGACAGAGAAAACGAGCAGATGCAAGTGTGGCTGTTGTCGTGGCGTCCCCCCTTGTGACAATCAAGTGAGCACAAACTATTGTGCAGCTCTTGGCACAGCAAATTAGGCAGCTGCCATACGCACATGGACTCTTCTGGCACCGCCAAAATTCTTGACGTGGCAGATTTTTATAAAAAAAGTAAGCAAACGTAAAACAACGCATTGCAAGCGTCCCGGCTGGTGCCTTTGTTGCAATGATGTTCACATGCACGTAAGGGCAACTTCGGCAGGCTTGCAGTTACACGTGCTTCGTCGCGCGGGCGGAGACAACGGCTGTTTGACCGAAACCGAAACCATGCCACTCCGCGCTCCGTCGCCAACTGCATGGTTCCCAAAATAGTATGCAAAATGTAACTGTCCAGCATACGACAATAAACAGTCCAGCGACTTGTGCTTGCCAGGCCGGCAGGCGAGGTACAGGCTAAGCGCACAGAAAAAAAGAACCTGAGCGTATTGATGCAAGACACTGCGAATCAAGGTCAAAAAAGTTCTTGGAGCGCTTCGTGCAACGACTGAACTCGAGACAAACAACCGCGCTGTGCGGGTTCAGCGTGCAGACATTGCCTTCTTTGCTTTAGCTCACTTCTCTTCACCAACTTTCTTTTGCGGCAGATTTTTCACGTACCGGGGTCCCTCTCGAAAGAAAGCCCACCAGGAAAAACCTAAGTAATCAAAACTTCGCCAAGCAGTCATTGAGTTAGAGAGGGATTTTTATAGCAGCGTATGATTTAAACAAGAGCAGGAATGTCGATGCGTTTCAGTTTAGTAAGCGCCATATCTGCAGCGACGTGGGGACGGCAACACACGACGTCGCGCGAGCGCTTCAGCTCAAAAAGTAACTCCCGCCGCGCAAAAACGTGGTTTTGTCTCACAGCATGACGGCATGTTTGGCACCCGATACACTAACGTCTGAGAGTCCGCACACGCCCGTGTCTACCGCTAAAAAAAAAAAAAAAAGACGCGAGACGAGATTTCTGAGACGACGAGTGCACGAAACGCGAGACGTCGGGAAAAATCATGCAAGACCAAATAGACGATTAATACAGGGTACTTTGTGTCGGGTGGCGTCTTGTGCGACCTAGCTTACGCATGCTCAATTACGGTTCTCAGTTTCGTTTCGTTTATGAAAGGCGACCAAAATTGCTTCTTTGGCGCAGGCTTGGCACGGATTAGCCATATTTCGGTGAAATGTAGCAGGATGTAGCAAAGTTAGCCCCTTGGTGCAGTTTGGCGCAATGGGCGCAGCAATCACATCCCTGCACTGTTTATAAGTGTGTCTCAGCCACGCCTGGACAGATGCCTCCGAGTCATCAATGTCCGCAAAGACATCCTCGCGTGGCTTTCTGAATACGGAGGGCATTATGCTCATTGACTGCATGTAACCGGCCACCACCATCAACATCGCCCCGTATGTGGCTACCCTCAGGTGATTGCGCGATTCACGAGAAGCTGCCAGGGAAAGGGGCAGCAGGTACGCTCTTGCAGCATGACAATGCCCATCCCTACATTCACCGTACTCCCTCAACCTAGCCCGGAGTGACCATCAGCCATTCAGCACCATGAAAAAACCACCTATGAGGACCCTATTTCATGGACACTGGTGAACTCGAAGCGGCTGTCCAGGCGTGGGTGCGAAGCACTCCCAAAGAGTGGTCCCGGAACGGAAAGGCTGCCACACTACTAGAACCAGTGCGTTCGTCTCCAGGGGGACTACGTTGAGGAGGTCGACACACCTACCGACCCCTAAGTGGACAATATCTGCGGAAAAATAAATCGTAAATCAGTATGGTACGCCCCCCATATGGCTGCACTGCCTTGACAATTATAGTATGGGAAGGAGGAAATTTTTTATTTTTTTGAGTGCATGGCCTGCAGTGGCATAGCCAGAAATTTGTTTCAGGGGGGTGTTTTACATTGCTGGTGTGTGTGTGTGGGGGGGGGGGGAGGGGGGATACTTTGCATCGCTGGGCGAATGGAAGGTTTCTAGTTCGCATTGCCATTGCATTGTAAACGGTGCACGAACCAGAGCAATGAGCCTTCAATGACTGCCTTTTTGTGTAGTTTCTTGACCAAAAAGCTTGCAAACACCGTCTAAAGCCCCTTCTGACAATTTGGATACTGGAGTAAAGAATATGACTTTTGCCGATAGGGTTGGAATATAAGTCTCCACTTGCCTTCTAGAGGAAAGACGTAGTGGCATCCATGGACTCAACAGCAATCTGTGCCTATGTCATCGTTCTCAAGTTTTTGATTGTTTTGACCAGAGAACATTGCACTCGCTTGGGACACCCAAAAATTGAAAGGATGCATTATCGAAATGCCAAAAATAAAAAATGTTGAAAGAACAAACCGCCGAAATCTCTATTAGCCGAATCACCCGGTACCAGAGACCAAACAATTCCAAAATATTATGTTCAACACGAACCTACAGGGTTCTAGATTGAGAAAGTGGAAGAAACATTTGTTCTGCCAGAGGAATTCTTTGTTTGTTGAATATGATCTAATAGTTTGTGTGTATTTCCCAAAGAAAGCTAAGGATGTTGAGCTTGTCCCAGTTGCCCAAGGCGGCTGTCAGGCTCTCTTCTCGCATGCTTTGCTTCTTGTGTGGTAGATGGCGAGGTTCTAATCTGATTTCTGCCTCGATATCGTCTTCGAGCGCAGCTTGCACATTTTTCATGCTCCTAATTTTGCAGAAGACACTTCCATGATTCCAACACACTGGTGCAGCTAGCATCTGCCAATACCGTACCAAATATGGCGATCAGATATGTACGCATTCTCACCTTTCGGCGTTTTGCTGTTGGGCATTTTATTTTTCGACGTTTCAATGTTTGGCCTTTACATTTTGATTTTCGTCATTTTGATATCGGCCCCTGTTTTGATGGGCTTGAAGGTCACACGCAGAGACTAGACCAGGTAAAAGGACGAGGATGTCTGAGCTGAAGGTGCCAACTGTACTGTCGACGTTGACAGTGCACTTGAAGCAGTTGGTGTTTGTTTCTTCTCAAAAAGATTGCCCAGCATCAACTTAGCTGGCATAGCTAAGCTCATTTTTAAGATAGCAACAAGGCATTGATGCATGCAAGATAAAGTAGGTGTATGCAGTTTTCTGAACTCTTAGCTCTGAGAAACAAAGTGACTGGAGCATCCTTCCCCAACACGGTTGCGAATTACTGTGTCAATATCATAATTTCGTGCTTATTTATTTGTTGCTTCAAAAGTGTTGTTCTGTAGTATAGTGCTGGTCCAGTCCATGAAGCTAGCAGGAAAGAATCTGGAAACAGTAATTCTTCGTTTTTCTGAACTTGGGAAAATGCAAAAGCTACGGCATCAGCAAGCCAATCGGGGCGTGTAATAACAATGCATGTGACAACGTAATGTCTTAGTGTACTCCTCCTGTGGAATTTTGGCACGTGCTTAGCTCCGTCGCTCAGACTGGCCCACAAGGGCAGTAGCTTTCACCCTTTGTTGAGTTATGCTAAGACAGAAAAGCAAGGAAACTGCATGAGACGAATACAATCTCGGGAGTGAGTTAATCTTCGCCTCTCGTTGACAAAGTAGGACTTTCAAGCCTTTGCGGCCACCTGCTCTCTGCGAGCTTGTAGAGGGGCTTCAGGCGCTAATTCGGCTCTGTTCAGAGACACCATTTGAGCAAGCTGCGAGCCAGACTTGGGTTTCTGACACGGACTGCGTTATCTTTGTCGTTTGCGCCAAAGCCAAACGTGTGGGATATCCACTGCTCTCTTGAGAGACAGAGAAAGAGAGAGAGAGGGAACCTTTATTAGTTACACCATAGTCCGGTTCTTGATTGGGGCCACCAGTGCTCACCCGGTACAGCATGGACATGCTGTACCAGTAGGAGCAGTAGTGTATCAACGAGTTGAAGCTGGGGGGGGGGGGGGGGGGGTGAGCCTGCCTGCCTAGTCAGAGGGTCGAGAAGGGTGAAAAAGAGGGAGGTAAGGAAGCATTGGGCATGGGGACAACGCCAAAGCATATGTACATCCAAGGTGTCGCCTTCTATTGCTCTCGACGAGGCGAGGCCGTCTCGACAAGAGACGAGGCCATGTGACTGTCATATATTTCATAGTGCTATTGTTGCATAACATTGCATCTAAACAGAGCAAGAAAATGACATATCTAAACTGATAACCGCAAATGCAAGGAAAAATAGCTCTCCATGATCTGGCCTAACGGGAAGAAGTGTAACGCTCGAAGAGGGCAGTCTCATCAGAACAGTTCGTTTAGAACATATAAGAATATGTGTAGTTTATAGTGGGACAGCAGTTGGAAGTGTCCGTGTTTCTGTATTGAACAAATGACTGGGTGGTAACTAGGCAGGCTGCTTCTCATTTAGTCTCTTGAAAGCCTCCCTGGAGCGCTATATTGCGCCTGGACAGTGGGGGTTATAATTAATTTCACTATCGGCAACACAAACAATTCATCGACCGCTTCCCAGGATGGTGCTAAACGTTCATCTAGCCTAACAACAAGTTATTACAAGTACGTATGTACGCTGTGAATCGGACAGTGAACGTAGTTGCCGAGGGCACGGTCCTCACCGAGACATGGTGAGTTTGCTCACGCGCAAAGCATGACATCGTACTCACTCGCTGGCACTTGCGCCCATCCCTTGCTGCCCGCAGTGCCGCATGTTGAGGTAGGCCAACCTCAACACCTCAGGGTTGAGGCACAGGGCCTCGAAGTCCGGGTGGCCCGTTACGCAGCCCTGCCGGCCCTGCTGCTTCCGTGCGACGGCCGGGTATTCGCGGCAGCAGACGCACTCGACGACGGTCTCCATCGGCGCGCAGGAACCACATAGACACCTTCGCAGAAAACACGCATCAATTACCCATTAAAGCGGGGTATAATGGAGCGCACCACGTACCAGTCCGTGTTCCCAAGCCGCCCGATTCCATCGTCGGGTGCGTCTTCCAGCTCTTGCGGACTCGCTTCACCGCGGCGCGGCCGTTGGTCGTTGCCACAGTCGGTGCCCGCGGCGCTGCGTTCGTCCACGTCGCGCATCGGGGTCGAATCATAGGATATGGCACCCATGTCAGCTGTCCGTTCCAGGATTTCGAGCTCTAGAGACGTTAGGTCCGAAAGGTCCATAGCGCGACCGTGGGATGCGACGAACGACGAATGCTGAGCACAAAGTCCGGGCAATTTTGGTCCGGGCCCCTTGACGACGGTCCGCGCGTTGGAGAGATTCCTCCGCGGGTCGGCGGTCGGTGACGCGTAGTGACACTGGAATCCTTCGATTGCCATTGGCTGATGCGTAAAGAGATGCCCCTCCCGTTTTCCGGGGTCATCTCAGAAAGGGGGGCGTGCCGGGGACTTTGATAGCAATTTTAATAGGAAAATCCGCCGCGCATGACTGTAATTTTACGATTTTTAGGATCCTTAGGACCCATAGATTGAGTTACCGCCATATATAGACCATCGCAGAACGCTCCGGAGGGCCCCTTTAATGGCACCCGGCAACAGCGACTTCCTGTGATTTTTGTACGGCGTGTAGGGCACCGTGCAATCAAACGCGTCGTTGCGTAGGTGTAAATGAACGCCATTTGCGAGTATTTAGTGCGTGGATTGTAAACAGGTTAAAAGATATATATTTCAGGCGTCTGGGATGACTTGTACCAAATCTAAAAGACACGGGGCGCTTTCCAATTCACAAACTGAAGTTTGCTAATTAGTCTTAATCGACCGAATAATTGGGCAGATCGAGAAAAATGCGGCAACTATGTTAAGACGCTTGCTAACGACGTGCAGTTGGTTTTACTTCCCTGGAGGACTCCGTTTGCTTTGTTTTAAAGTTTGATGCAAGTAATCTGGGAAACCCTGTACACATTGTCTCGATGTTCCCTAAAAAGCTAAGGGTTTTTAAAAATCCCCTCTCCCCAAAGAAGTTAATTTTAATCTCTCGGAACTGTTTTCAGCTACGGCCCGCCGCGGACCATAAATACTGCTCAAACAAACGAGAAATCGCATAATTTTAAGAGATTGTAGCAGGCGGGTAAGTTTTAGTTGTCGATTGCGTGCGCGAACTTCGCATTTTACTCCCACCAGGGCGTCCAAAACGGTTCCCCGATCGGCGCATTTACCGCGTCCAAAGAAAAATGGTCCCTCGATTTCCGCCCGATGGCATCGCAGAAGGGCGCTGTTCCAGCGGCGGTGTGTTCATTGCCACTTCAAGACCACTTTCGGTGCGCGGGCGTAGCTTACTCCGCTTTTGGCGGGGCTCTCTTGCAGAGACGTAGCGCACGACAACATTCGTGCCGTCGAGGCGCAAGATGCGTGCAGAGTCTTTCCGGCAGTTTCATTGTGAAGCAGTATGCAATGCATTCTGTGTTAAGTCTGCCTTTGGCACAACAATGCAAAAAGAGCTTGTTTTGTGTGTTTATTTGGTATTGATTTGCCTAACTGCAGAAATTGCTAGAGTTCTTTTTTTGAAGGTGCGGAATGCTTTTCAACGGAGCTCCATCAGTCGGAAGATTTCGCCCATCCATCTGCCCGTCGGTGCATTTCCCGCCAGGTTTAGCGGTAAAATTAATAAATGCATAGCTTCTTTCCGAGACGACCGTTAAGTGTCTTCTAAGCAAATTTAGAGGACCACGCGGCCCCTCATTCCGCGGCTGTCATCTGCGCGGGTGGTGAGGGAGAAACTGCAAGGTTTGGCCCCCAGTCGCTCCGACCGCTACTACATGCAGAGGCTCGCCTTGCCGGTGCTACAGGTAAGCCTGCCTCGTCTTTTGGTCGCCGTCGTGGCGCCCCGTCGACGTTGGCCCACATGCCGTAAAGTCCTGAGAGATAGCCCACCTAAAATAGTTAGAAAATTGGGTGGAAATGAGGGGTGGGCTAGCTTTTGGTGTGCAGTTGGGGCAAGTTGAATAAATGCTATTTTTTGATTGTGTGTCCCTGTCAAAGTTGTTATCGCGGCAAGGGGCAATGAAGCAAAGACGACTAATCCAATCAGCAGTGTTGGCTTATGTCTCGCCATAGCTAACTAGACGCATTTACGCCACGGTCATCATTGATCCGAAACTACGATTACTAGGAGGGGGCCATCTTTCGGTGTTTCAAATGAAATAGCACCTCGAGCCAGAAATGGGGGTGGGTTACCTTTCTCGGGTGGGACATCTCTTCGGATTTTACGGTAGTCCTTTTTTCGTCAATACATGCCTATTCAGTCGTAGGTCAGGTAGGCCTGTGACTGAATCAACCTACGTGGCCTATTTAGTCGATACCACTGCTAGCCTTGGGTCTTCGGCATACTTCGCTTGGCGAAACACGACCGCACGCCGGTAGGATGCTCGTCCAGATCGAAACGGGCAGGAGAGGGGAGGATCACAAGACCCAGGAACCTTGGGTCTTGCTGTGCGAGCTTGTGCTCTACGCTCTCCGAGCCGCCGTGCACTAACAGACCCGACCGCCAGTCCTCCATTACGTGAAAGAGCAGCGTCTCCCCTTTCAAGAGGCGGTGCAACGATTTTCTAACTTTGGCCAATTAATTGTGGGAATTAGTCGAGACCAACCATAATATGAGGAGCGGGAACCCTTTCTTTCTTGTGTGCGCTAGTTTTTAATCTACAAAGAGATTGAACAAGTAGAAGTGTTTCGAGTGAGTTTCGGTGTCGTCTTTGGGACCAGCAGCCTTCCCTGCCCGTTGGTCGACTTTTCAAGGCCACACTTGCCATCGTCGAGGTATCGAGGTGGGACGGCTTGCCGCGGGGAAAGACGTTGAAGGTAGCGAAGGAGAGGAAACGGTTTCCTTTATTTCCGATAGATGGATAGATGGCGCCGCGAAAAAGGTCACGCCATAGTTCCGATGACAACCACACAAGACTGCAAATTAAAAAAAAAATATGGTTTTGTTTTTTGCAATTGCAGTAGAAGATCGATGATATGAATCTCGAGGGATCGCAGGAGATATTTGTATCGTCCATAATTCATACTAACAAAAAATCAAGTCACATGACTATGTGAAACCAAAGGGGGGGCTACTTCCAATTCATTGGTCACACTCCCATCTAAAGAAGTCGATAATGTTCTTCTGAGCCTTCTTTTTCCGATGTCACCCAAAAGGCACTTTTGGAGCACGGAAGAACGAGCGTACCTGTCATTGCTGACCTTGATCTCGGGCTCACTATGCGGCACAGCACATCGAGAGCATGCAGTGTTTCAGCAGTCGTCGGTGGCTGCTTGTCATTAGTTTACGTCGCCGTCATCATCTCCGCTACTTCACCGTCCTTGCAATGCTGTCACTTCCTCAACGATTGCCTCGGCAGTCCTTAATCCGCAAGTAGCGAGGCTGTCATCTGCGGTAACGAAATCGAAGGCCGATTTCTCAGCATAAAGCGCAGGTCTCGGTCCTCAATTCTCAAGTTTTCGTCTGGTTCCGGAGGAGCAGCCACTGTAGGATTTGTGAATTCACACTTGCGGAAGCCGTTACATAAGGGTTGATTCCACAATCAACGTCAATTCCAAACGTCATTTCTCACGTTTACTCAAGTCAGTCAGAGTTGCTGAAACTCATTTATCGCGTGACAATAAATATAAAGCAGCAACCCTTGAGTGAGCAAACGCGAGTTACTCCAGCGAGCCAAATTCTCATCACGCGACAACACAGAGCAGCGGTGGACGTGGGTGTGTTTTCGAATTTTGGAACGCACCTACGGTTATCGGGATTGCATGGTGCGTACATAGAAAGAACGGCGAGAGAAATGACTCAAAAAGCGTGCTACAGTCGTAGGAGTCAAGTGATGCCGTCCCGCAGGATGTGTAAAGGTTGTTGATGATCGTTCACATGATCCTCCGCGGCCGAGAAAGCATTCGGACTATCCCGAAACGTAATAGATTAGTCTTAACGAACTTCTGCCGGGAATTTCGAAAAATTCGTATCTTACCGAAATTCGGACGAACCGTCGTCGTATCATCGAGATTCTACCGTATGCAGCAAATTTGCAGCATTCTGAACGAAGGTGGCACATTTTCTCCTCTTTTGCCAATAGAAACGATATAAAAAATGTGAGCCGTAAATTTTTCGACATTAAAATTGTGGGCCTGTCCCAGTTCTAACGCATCGCCTCGATTCGTTGGCGTTTGACGGGCGTCACCTCTTTTCCAGGACGCGTCGGAGCAGTTCGTGACTAACTTCCTGTCTGCGAGTTACCTGTGTTCCCTCCACGCCAAGAGACAGACCCTGAGGAGGGAGGACATGATTTTCCTCCAAAACCTCCTCAAGACCTTTGGCGGGAGCCTCGCCCCGGCCTTCTGAAGCCGCCCGGTTCCTTCATACGCCGACAGTGCTGTGTACATAGCGTAATCTTTTTTTTGGGTCAGTTCCTCCCGTTATTGTGTTATTTTTATATATTGCCGCGCGCGCAGCTGGCCAAGTAGGCAGCGTGCGCGTGGCATAACGGTGTTATTTTTATATATTGCCGCGCGCGCAGCTGGCCAAGTAGGCAGCGTGCGCGTGGCATAACGGTTATCGCGCTTGCCTTCCACGCAGAAGGCCAGGGTTCGATTCCTGGCCGCGGCTACACATTTTTGTTGACACTGTAATGTGATGTTTTGGTGAATTCGAGAACTGTCTTGCTGATTCGAGGTTAGAATGTTCTACGCGCCGAACCTTCTTCGCCGAACGATCCAGAAACCCACGAGGGTACATAAGGGATTCCGCAAGGCGAGCGGAGTCAGTTTCGCCCCAACACTCGACTCTGCTGTCTCGCCGACTTCGACGCGACGCTTTATTACTATTTTCTATTCCCTTTTTGTTTTGGGCACAAGTTCGCCACATTAAACGTTTATTTCTTCCTGTTGATTTATTGTTATTCTGGTCACCACCCGTGACATTCTGGTGGAGGTCTGGGGTACCGCATGTTCGTGCAGCGCACCCCTCCGAGTTCCCGCAGTACGAGTCCGAACCCAAGCTCCCGAGTACCCAACGAAGACACCACCGAGACCTGAGTAAGTCGCCACATCCAGTTCCTAGACCTGGAATACGGACTGCTGCCAACCAAGACCAAGCAAACGAGAAGGACGACGATGGCCAACCAGTCGGAGACCCCGGCCGCTCTTGCCGTCGTTCACCTGCCCGTCGTACCGCGGACGGCTGCTCCATTCCACGGCGAGCAGCACGAAGACGTCGAAGACTGGATTGACGATTATGAACGCGTTGCACGCCACAACTGCTGGACCGACGAGCAGCGCCTGCACAATGTCTATTTTTCGCTTCTGGGGACCGCCAAGCACTGGTACAAAAATCATGAGTCCTCCCTGACGTCGTGGGACATTTTCAAGGCCGATCTCAAGGCTACATTCATCAACCACCACCGCCGTTAGAGA